ATTAGGTGGGAAAAGCCCCCTGCCATGTCATATTTCTTTTTACTAGAATTTGTTCTTGTTTTACTTCTGATTAACAAATATGCACATTCTTAAACAATGATAAGATACCTAAGAATCTATTATTCTCTCATTATTTGTTATGAAATAAATAGAAGCTACTCATATAATAGGTGAAGTTGAAGGATTTGTGAGATTAAAAAAACTGAAAGAAAAAAATGCCAAAAATATAAAATAAAACCTGCAAGGGTTTAGCTGTAATGTCCTTGAAAGAGTAGTTATTTAAAAAAAAATTCTTCAAGAAATAGTACAGTTGAAGATCTTAAAGTACTAAGAAGGATAACAGTTTAGGGACTGTATCTTCTAGGATCAACAATACAATTCCCTGAAGACTCTAAATAACTCTCTTTAATAAACTTTTGTTCACTCGTCAAGCATTTCTTACCAATTGATAAGATGAAATTATCTGTTAAGAATTCTAGTGTATTTTTTGAATAAAAATAGAAAAAATAAAATTGAAGATTTCTTGAACTAGAAGAACATTATTATGAATAAATTCTCAAAGCTGCTAATCTCTTAAATCTGTGAATCAAAACCAGAAATATAAGTGATGACAGCATGGCTACTGAGCTTGACTGGGCTTTCAAAACAAAGGGCATAGTTAGGTCATTGAACAAGACAGATTTTAATTTTTTTATTTCAAAATATTAAGGGGCACAAATGTTTCTGTTTACATGGATCACTTCTGTAATGCTTGAGTAATGGCTTTATAAGTGTGTCCATCACCCAGATAGTATTCATTGTACCTATTAGGTAGGCATTTGCCATCCCCTGATCCTCTCTACCTCCTGCTTGATTTCCACTGAGTTTTACTTCCCTGTGTGCATGTGTGCTTATTGGTTAGTTCCAATTTAATAGTGAGTACATGTGATGTTTGTTTTCCCAGTCTTTAGATATTTCACTTAGGATAGTGGTCTCCAGTTCCATCCAAATTGTTGCAAAAGGCATTAATTCATCATTTTTTATGGCTGAGTAATAGTCCATAGTATACATATACCACATTTTGTTAATCCACTCATGCACTGATTGGCATTGGGTTGTTTCCAAATTTTTGCAATTGTGAATTGTGTTGCAATAAACATTTGAGTGCAGGTGTCTTTTTGAGAAAATGACTACTTTTACTTTGGGCAGATACCCAGGAATGGGATTGCTGGATGATATGGTAGGTCTACTTTTAGTTCTTTGAGGAATCTCCATACTGTTTTCCATAGAGATTGTATTAATTTGCAGTCCCATCAACACTGTATAAGGGCTCCTTTCTATCTGCATCCATGCCAGTATCTATTGTTTCTGGACTTTTTAATAAAAGCCATTCTTACTGGGGTAAGGTGATATTGCACTGTGGTTTTAATTTGCATTTTCCTGATAATTAGTGATGTTGAACATTTTTTCATGTATTTATTGGTCATTTTCTATCCTCTTTTAATGATCGTCTGTTCATATCTTTTGCCCACTTTTTAAAGGGGTTGTTTTTTTCTTGCTAATTTGCTTGAGTTCTTTGTAGATTCTGGTTATTAGCCCTTTATAAGATATATATTAGGTTATTAAGTATGAAATGTTCAGTTTCCTTAAGTACTAAATTTGATAGTTGATACATCTGAATTTCACTTTGACACTTCTTGTTTTGTTTTTATTGTGAAGGTACATCCTCATTCTTTCAAACACACAGTTTGGCTTGTGATTATCTTTCAAACTTTTTAGAGCAATTTTTGTGAAACCATGGATAAGTCAAAAATTCGTGTTATTTTTTAATATGAGTTCTGTCACGGAAGCAATGTAGCACAGACAGCCTGAAATATCAATGAAGTGTTTGGGAAGGATGTGGCTAATGAAGGCATAGTACATTGGTGGTTTGAGAAGTTCCATTCTGCTGATTTTAATCTTGAAAATGAGCCGCGTGGGCGACCTGAGACCAAGGTAGATGATGATGAGCTGAAATCTGTAGTAGAAGCAAATCCATCTCAACCTACGCATGAATTAGCAGCGAGGTTTGACGTTACTATTCCAACAATGTCCGACGTTGGAAGCAAATGGGCAAGGTAAAGAAGCTGGATAGATGGGTTCCACATGAATTAAACGAGAGGCTGAAGAGAAATCTTCTCGAAGCTTGCCTTTCTTTGCTGTCACAACATAAAGGCAAATGATTTCTACATTGTATTGTTATGTGCGATGAAAAATGGATTCTTTTTGACAATCACAAGTGTTCAGCACAATGGTTGGATAAAGATGAAGTGTTGAAACACAATCCCAAACCAAATATTCATCAAAAAAAGCTAATGGTGCCTGTTTGGTGGTCCAGCGCTGATATTATCCACTGCAGCTTTATGAAACTTGGTCAATCTATTCCAGTGGATGCCTACTACAGCCAATTGGATGAAATGATGAGGATGCTTGTGATTAAATAGCTGATATTGGTTGATAGAGACAGATTAATACTCTTCCAAAATAATGCTTAACCACATGTCACCCAAACAACACTGCTCAAACTACAGAAGCTGGACTTGGAAACTGTCATCCACCGTATTCACTAGCCCTTACAACAACTGATTACAACTTCTTCCAGGCCACCAGGGAGGGGCTGAAGTGCCCCACCAAGCCAGAAAGTCTGTTTCTGGGGATTGGGACATCAGAGATTCACAATCTGGCTGTCAGGTGTGGGTTTCACTCTTTTCCTCCCTCCCCTGCCCCTCAGTGTTCTTCTAGCGTCTGTCAGTAGAGAAGAGCCCAAACCAACCAAGCTCCCCACCCAGCATCTCACCCTGAGCCGAGAGTGCACCCTTCCAGTGAGGGAGGGGTGCTCCACCAGTGTGCTGCAGCTCAGACCCACACTGCACTGTTCTCTCAGTTCTGCCCACGGGGGCTCCCTTGCCTTCCTAGATTAGTTCACAAATCTCCCCTCTGTGTCCCCAAGCAACGTGATCCAGTCCTGGGGGCATAGGGTCTGGCCTGTGAGCCTGTCCCCGAGTACCCAAAGACCAATCCCTGACCGTGCCAGGGAGAAGTGTGCTGTCCCCAAGTTGCCTGTGGGATGCTCAAGCAGGTTTGGTGTCCTTCCACTTCGGGGTGTGCACTGCTCTGATGAAGCATCTGGGAAAGCAGCACTGGGGTTGGCCAGTGAGCAGGAGGCTCACAGTCCAAGCACCCCTGAGCTCACTATATGCTTTTAAGAGGAAAGGTTTGAGCTGCACTCTCTGTGGAAGCCTCCATGTGGTGTGTGCATCAACAGAAGGGAAACAGCCTCTCCTGAGAGGCCTGGCTCAGTCTTCTCTCATGGGCTATGGGTAGAGGATGGGCAGGGAAGGAGAAGAGTCTGAATGGAGGACAGCTAGCACTCTGGTGGTCTCGGCAGGTTATTTTAATTGAAATAGAAGATAAGTATTTGGGCTGTCTCTTGAAAGCCGGCCACTATGTTTACCTAACAATCTCTTCTCCAGTTGCTTCTGTCTCCTTCACATTTCTCTTTCTCCACCATACAAACAATAAAGTTTTATTTATGCTTTGAAATATACCAACTCACTCTAGAAAATATGCATTTTTACCCTTTTGAAGGGTAAAAAATGAGTTTCTTGTCTTAAAAATGAAAGATGGATAGATGAAGTTTCAAGTAGCAAAATTTATAGTCAATGAGTCAAAAGGTGCCTAGGCTTCCCTTTGCTCCTCAGCTGTTTCTACTAATATATCCTATATTATCTGAAAGCTCTTTAGAAAAAGAAAGAATAGCTTTATTCATGTTACCATGGAAGTTTCTTGAGTTATCACATTTCTGCCTATTTCTTAATAGCTGGGAAAATTAAAAATCTAAAATATTTAATTTATTGAACCTTTTAGCTGCCTTTATAATAAAAATAAAATGTCCAAAATATAAATTGCATACAATTATTGTCTCAATAAGTTATACTTCAAAATGAAATATTTTGAGTAAAGTATATAAATTTGAAGCAAAATTAATAAAAATGTATATTCTCAAGAAATTGGAAATTCCAACCACTAAAATGCAATATAATATATGTTTATATCTCTTTTTGCCCCCAAAACTTTAGAAAACATGTATATTAATAAGATTGACACTAAAATATAGCTGATCTTTATATATAAAATTGAATATGTGCATATGTTAGTTGATAAAACCTAGTTAATAATAATATATATATATCTGCCCCTTTAAAATAGTTCAGAACTATGAGAGAATAAAAAGACCTCTTTATATAGTTCATATGAACCATATTTTTACCCTCTTTAAATAACTTTTTGCAACTAATTTCCTAATAGTATTTTTGCAGTCATACTTGATTCAAATATAAAGCAGTTTCCACTCATTAAGTAGTGGACCTATCTCAGAGTGCACATTTTGAAAGCATCTTTGGACAAAGTTACAAATTTCTACATGTGACATATTGTTAGAGTTGCTTAAGCCAGCCAAAGCTTGGATTTAAAGTTAAATTCTCAAAGGGCAAGGATCTGTTCATAAAATCAACATGGAATAGTCAGGGGATGCTTTTGGGTAAGACAGAAAGGGGCAAGGATCCTGTAAATGTCATGAAGGAACACAATGGGAAATGACATGTGTCTAGAATCCACCCCCAGGAGTAGAAAATTAGACAAACAGATTTCTAGAAACATTGGTTAGCAACAAAATGCAGACACGACATTAGAACGACTGATGGCCATAAAATTTATGGTCAGCAGACCTGGTTGAAAAGCAAAACTTTATCATCACTGAACCCTAAATCCTTAGGCAGCAGACTAATCTATGCAGCAACTCTGATTTTTCAATTTATAAACTGAGGGGAAATAACACCTATCTCATAGAACAAATTTTTTTAATAGAACATTGCTCATAAAAGTTTGTAAAACATGTAACAATATAAGAAATGTATGTACAACTTGTAAACTATTGAGCAAATTCTTATACTGATTGATATGAATAAGGTGGAATTTCTTACCAAGGATGAATTCCAACTGTGGTTCATTTGGAGTCTTCTGAATACCTATAAATAAGAAATACACACTCAGGTTTAAAAAAATTTAAATCATCATCAAGAATATGATAATATATATTACTACGCTTCACTCTGACCAGAATGAATAAATACATTATTTGGTAGAATGGATAAACTTGGTTAATCAGCCTTATAAGGACCAAGTTCTCAGGGCAGGGCATAATAAAAGTAGCAAAACTAGATGTGACAAGATTTGATTGGTCTTTTTAGCTATTTGGCCATCAAGAAACTAAGAAAAAGTGTTTTTGTAAGCCATGACAAATATAAAACATATATTTCAACAGTGGCTGTTTCTTTTGGATGCACGTAGACAGAGGTGAGGCCTTTCAAAAGAACTACCTCACCAAAATATTCCCTTTAAATGGATTTTCCTTTCAAGCCACTCTGACCTGCTGTAAATAGTACATTATTAACTAAATTGGTATCTCTGGCTAGGTTATAGTGCTAGTTTCCCTGATAATTTATTGGTAGCTCAAATCAACAGTTTGTTAAATATTTCCTTTCCTTTCAGTACTAATGTTTAAAAACTATAAAAACTATAAAAACAACACGAGTAAATTATTTAAGATGAAGTGAGAGGGAAAGTGAGTCTGAGAACAAAGGTATGGAAATGGGAACATTTAATGGTTAGAAGGTAGAATGATCAGGTTGTAGGAAGTGATAATGTTGTAGGTAGGTGGATGCACTGGGTGTATGAATGAAATGTCACCTTGTTACAGCTCAGGAGTGGCCAAAAGAAGCCAAATGAAAATTAATGAAAAAGTTAACCGTTTGGCAATAAATGAAAGAATATTATAAAAATACTATCCTTGCTTATTTTCACTGGTGTATTCATCAGATATTATTTAAATTTACTGGTATTTGGTTGCTAATACATTTTTAGAATGACCTTATTGAATAAAAATCATCTGTTTTTTTAATTCACAGTGTTAGCATTTTTTTTGCACAATTACTGTATATTTTTTCTCTTGCTGGCATTTAACAATTATATGGTTAACAATTTCTGATTTTCCAAGAGAGGTTAGAGTGACAATCATTAGGTAGGTCTTTGTGAACTTCAAATGTCTGGATTTTTAAAAAAGGTTATTAACAATTAACTCTGCTGTAAGCTCTGACAACCAAAGTTCTCAAAAATGCATCCAACCAATGCCATTTTCTAGAGATTATTTTTGTAACGTAAATTAAATGAGAAGGTTAGGCGTATAATTGTCTGAAAAGGCAAGAAAAAGACATAATTCATGCAAAACAATAAAACCCAAACCCTAGAATTTTAAGCATGAGAGAAAACATACAATTTTTTTAATGATTTTTAATGGCTTGAGTAGCACAAAAACCAATCCTATGTTCAAATGCAAATCTTGGCAAAACCTTCATGCTCGCTCTTTAAATGTGACTTAGCACTCTCTGGTATGGCAATGGCAGTCTGAGCTTTTAGTGTAACCATGTTTTCCTAATGCTTTCAACTTAATAACTTTTGGCTTTAAAGAGGAAAGTTCTATGGTCCAAAAAATAATCCCACATATGATTATATAAATGCCAAGTAGAAAATGTTCTTAAACAGTATTAGTGTCTAGGTGTACTTAAAAAGTATTTATTAGTGTGTCTTAGTATATATTCAAAAACTTTGATTCTAATCCTTGATATTTAACCATTTCATGGACTATCATCTATCTCACCCAAGGTAAAAGATAAGAGGCACAGTGAACACTCACAATACCAAAGTAAATAGTGCAAAGGAAAACTATTTGGGCAATCTCATGCCATTTGTTAGAACCCATGTTTCTGCAAATGCACCTGTATATGTGTGTTTAGTTGACACAATCTGCATCTTCAGAGAGTCAGAGGGAGGGCCACACACATACTTACTTGTGAACTGGGAGTCCCCAGTATCATTTGCCTGGGCTGCAGGAAGAAAGTGCTGGCCTTCCTCTGATGTCCCTTCCTCTTTGATTTCCATGATCTACGTTCACAGTTGTTTAATTTCCAAGTTTTCTTTTCCAAATGTCACTTCCAGTGATTTCTGGTTCAATGTAGATGTAGCTTCACACTAAAGACCTGATATCCCACTCTGAAATTCTGTGCTTAGGAAACATCAAGAGTAAAGATGTCAGTTACCTAGGATTTCAGTATAAAGCTAAGAATTAAAGGTAGGCAGAGACTACAACTACATTTGAATAAAATTACTTCCTGCCTATTCCACACATACTTTCAGGACCAATTCACACAGTTAATGCACCATAAACTCTGGGTTAAATAGGTATTCTCCAAGCAATTATTATATGGTCATATGAAGGACTTCTAAATCTTGAAAGGTATATTCTTTCTCCTCTAGTTCATTCTATAAGATAGCAGATAGCTACAGAGGCTGCTAACTTAATATGCACCTAATTTAGCAGCAAGAGCATATAGCATCTTGTCAAGGCATTAACACATTTTGCCAAGTGAATATTACTATTCATTCCTTCCATTAAAATTGCCCTTTATGCTCATCTCTCCATCCACCCTTGTTAGAACATTATTCCTGGCCACATAAAAATAATTTGGCATGACACTCTTCTTCCAAGATGAGCCAACAGGTTGTATAGGGGAGTTTCCAACCTCATTATTACCCATGGAATCTCTCGCTGCTCTGCCTGATAAAGGTTTAATTGTTTAATGATCGGGGTATATGGTGAAAAGAATGAATAATTAGTCTAAAAAGCTAAATCTCAAGGGAAAATGAAAGCAATAGCAAATTGATGAAAATCAGCATGAGGAAAGAAAGTCTCTCCAAGAATTTAATTCCCTGTTATATAGACAGCCTCAAATAGTTACAAATTCATTTTGATATTTAGAATGATATACATGACCAAGAACGAATTTTTAAAAAATCAATGTTGTTTTAAATAAAGTTACCAGTTGAATTAAAATGTACAAAAATCTTTAAATGTCTGCCCAATGCTGTTTAATGAAATAGCAGCAATTGAGTTGGGTTCGGAATACTGATACGGTCTCAAACTTTACAAATCAGCAGCTACATTCTTTTCTGTTCTTAGGAAAGTGGCTTCATTTATAATTCAGCTCTAGTTTTTAAAAATCATCTGGCAAAAATTAAATCCAGATAGCATCTTGAATCTTTAGAAAATGCTATAATAAAGTGTTAGATAAATACACATTGGTTTCTAAGAATACAACCAAGAATACTTTTTGGGGTAAAGTGCTATTGCATCATCAGTTAGACCAAATCCATCAATTTGAAAATTATGTTTTGAATTAAGATAAGGTAATGCTTCTGAATTTTTTTGATTATTAAATTCAGAAGTCTTTTTTGATAAGGACATACATATTAATTGCACCACATTCTCCCAAGGATTAATGCTAACAGTGAGATAACATCTGTAGCAGACTGCAATGCATGTGTGACTTGGATATAAGGACTATATAATTTGTTAATTTTATTTCTTGAGCAAAGACTAATCCACAATCCTGGTCAGTCATCTTAAAAACTGAAAAGAAGACTTCAGTGAGGCAGTATGAATGAATTTTGGTAAAATAACTCTTCAACTCATTAATGGTGAATGATTAATGAAATAAATGTCAACTCTGTGTGTAGGTGTGGGTGTACTTGTGTAATTTGGGGGCGAGAGGAGAAGACTAAAGTAAGATGTTTATAAAAGTCATTAACATTGTCCCATTTTAAGCATACTATCTCATTCAAAACTAGTTCACTAACTGAAAATAACCCCCATTATAAAGACAATGGAGCCAACAATACACAGCAAGGATTATGCGACAACCTCTTGAGATTCTACTTACATCCATTCTATCTTTGTCTCATTGAGAACAAATTTAAGATTTGGTACTTGTTACCAAAGCACATGCTTCAGAAGGAATCAATGACAAAGCTGTAGAAAACAACTGCCATTTCTCACTGGTAAATATAGACTTTACCTATGGTTGTGGTTAGGTACAACAGTTCATTTTCTATGTCTATTTGGAAATTTTTTTGGTTTGGCAATCATGCACAAGAATAGATTGTGGTTGTTGCTTACCACAGGTATATTAAAAGAGACAGCTTTTAAGTATAGTGCAAATTAGTCCAGTTCTCATGTCTTTTGTCCCACACAGAAGAACTGTACACCAATGGTCATAATATTCAGAAAATACTTTTGGTTCTCTTCCCTTTACTCAAGGATAAGAGGTGACTGATAGTTATAGTTAACATGTTTAATTAAACAATATTTCTCACTCATGACTGCAGTAATAGATATTTGTTAATATTGTGTACACTTCACATTTTATTTATTTATTTTTATTATTTATTTATTTATTTTTGAGACAGAGTCTCATTCTATTACCTGGGCTAGTGGGAAGTGGTGTGATTATAGCTCACTGCAACCTCAAATCCCTGGACTGAAACAATCCTACTGCCTCAGCACCCCCCACCAAGTAGCTGGGACCATAGGCGCACACCACCACACTTGGCTAATTTTTTTTTCTTTCTATTTTTTTGTAGAGACAGTGTCTCACTCTTGCTCAGCCCGGTCTCAAACTCCTGGCCTCAAGGGATCCTCCAGCCTCAGCCTCCCAGAATGCTAAGATTACAGGTGTGAGCTACCACACCCGGCCATACTTCACAATTTTAAAGGACAATCTGACAGGCACATAAAATCACACAAGAAGAAGAAGCGATTACTGGATTTTGAAGTAGGGATAGTGAGGAAGCTGAGCTGAGACCTCGCCGGTCAATCTTGGGATACCTGACCAAAGGGATATGGTGCCCCTGCAGCAGAGGTTCTGGCATTAGCTTCACAGATCAAGAAGCAGATAGAGGAATGGCCCAAATTTATTTTATTTAAAATTTATTTTAAATATTTAGAAAATGTTCTAAAGGAAAAAAAGGACATCAGGCACAATTTTAAAAAATAATTAACTTAAGGCAAAGGAAATGAAATTTCAATAGTGAGTATTCTTTCTTCTCATGAATTTCTTGAAATACCTTCTTAGAACTCAATTTGAAAACTTCATGAGTCTTTTTTTAAAAATAAATTTAAATGCTGAAGTGACATAGCCAGAATCAGAGGGAGAGAGAGAAAAAAAGTGAAGATTAAGTAGAAAGGGAGAAGAATGATGGTGCAGGAACAATTCTAGATGATACAATCCACTGTAATGAAAAGAAGGGAAGTGAGTAGACCATGAGGCATGATATGAAGTAGACTATGAGGCATGATATGAGTAGACTATGAGGCATAATATGTTCTCCTCAATGGCCTAATTTTTTTTCTTTTCAAAAAGAAGGCATATGTATGAGCTCAGTATAGGGTAAGATTTTTCAACATAACTTCAAAACCATAGACCATAAAGAAATAGATTAATAAATCTGACTATTTTAAAATGTTCTGTGAGCAAAAGATACCATACAAAGTGAAAAACCAAAACACCTACTTGGAAAATATAGTCATAAAATAGAAGGTCTGGTTTCTATTTAGGATATACAAAGATATAAGGAATTGCTCCCATAATAATCTCAAAAAATAAAAAGCTAAATCATGCATTAAATCATAAACCGTGTAAAAAATACTCTATAGTTCTATACTGCTTGGCGGTACATACACATGAAGTGCATTATAGAAAAATGCACAATAAACCCTAATTTCAGAATAGTTGTGATGTCTGGGAAGGAGGAGGGCCATGGGAGGGAACAAGTGGTCTTCCACTGTATTGGGAAAATTTTATTTCTTAAACTGGGTAACAGGAACAAAACATGTTTTTCTTTATACCTTTATTATATTTCAAATGCTCATTATGAATTTTAAAAAAGGTGGCGTCATATGTTGAGAGGAACTGGCATGGAAGGATAATAGGAGCTTTGAGAAGAAAGGCAAAGTTTTGAGCTGATCTTTATTAATACTGGATAAAGAACAAGCAAGCACACATGATGGCAGCTGTATGGGTCCAGCTGGGCCTGGAGACCCACAGATTTGGGGGGGGGTCTTAGTCTGACTAGCTGTGTGGATTTTTCTAGCAGTATCCAGCAGCCCGGAGAAGAAGGATGGTATAGTGGACACAGTGTCGGGATTTTGCCTGCTAGTGCAGTGAGGAAAGGGAGCAGCCTAGAATGCAGTGCTAACAAAGTGACTGAAGGGCCTTTAGGCTGGACTGGGAAATCATTAAAAAAGAAAGATGTAATAATATACCAGGACATGAAAGGAGTATTCATTTCTAAGTGATTTGAAGTTCAGGGTACAGGCATGGGATAAACGGGTGGCTGAAATGGAGTGGTGCTGACAGTCACTAGCAAGACAAAGAAACTATGCATTGAGGATGTCAGATGAGTTACCTCTATGGAAATTGAAATCACCCCAAAGGATCACAGTCAAGGCCTGTGGACCAGGGGAAGAGTATGTCTTTAGGAGAAAAGTCTGCAGGCATCCGGAGTTTGAACAATAAGCATGGTACATAGGAGTGAAAGTGTGGTATAGCCTGACCTCTGTAATCTTAAATGAGGTCACAACAATTTAAGAGGCATCTTGTGGCATTAGGAAAACAGTGGCCCTGCCTCCAGGCTCTGTGGTGTAAGGCCTGCGGACAACATTAGCGCGCAGGCAGCCAGGAGGCAGTGCCTTGTGAGAAAGCCAGGTTCCCACTAAAACTAAGAGACAAAGGGAACATTCTCCAAAGAGGTGGGAGGTGAAAGAGATTGCTTTTCATAGAAACGGAAGGCCCCTCGGACAGTATGCAATATTTTAAAGTGACAAGATCAAGGGAAGATTGAGTCATAGTCAACAAGGCCCATGGCAAAAGCGGATGATGATGTGGTGGGTAAGGACCATGACAGAAGGTGCCTGTGGCGTAGGTGGCATCCTGGGATGACAGGGACACGAGGCATGCTATGATTAGCTGTTCTTGTGTGCTAAATGCACCTCTGCCTAAAGATGTTTCCTGGCCTGTGCAAGCTGAGGGCCAGGCAGGGAGTGTTGGAGGCTTGATGATACTATATACCCGTGGCTTTTGTTTTGGTTTCCACACAGTGCTTAGATACGAAGTGCTGAATGAATTATTATTTCCTATCGATCTCAAAAACAAACAGAAAAGCAAGTCT